GGAAGACCTTAATAATAATAAGAATAATAACTAGATGAAACTCGTTGCGAGCAACGAGAGGTCTTCCGTCCGATTCCGAAAAAAAAACGTAAAATCGAGCTGAAAATGTAAAAAGAAGATTTGCACACAAGGGGATTGCACCCAAGTCGCCAGCATAAAATTCCAACGCACTAAATATTACACTATCAGGACATCTACTCTACGAAGCAGTGCCTCTCTCTTAAAAGTATGAAAGGTGGATCACTATTCAAAATTTAGCGCCAAACGCTAGGAGTTAATCTTCGCGCCTTTTCTCTGGAATGTTCTATTAAATAGGTGTGATAGCTTGAATGAAATTAAAAAAAGAATGTTCTTATAGCCTTAGATTCGAGGTTTAGAAAGTATATTAAACACATTTTACAAATTCCATATTGTATATATGCATGTAACACTAAAGCGGTGAAACTGTTATGAATTTTTAACTTTTTTTCAATTTCCTGTTTATCCCCAAAGTGAACTATCCCGATTAGTTAATCGAAAGAGGTCGAAAAACATGGCTGGCCCTACGACGGTCAAGGAATCAGATATCATTCATGCTCAATAGCTTGAATCAGGTCTTTGAGACAAGAATTCTACAATAAACTCCATGAAGAGATCTTTAAAAAATCGTTTTCTTATTTCTGTCTTATTTATTAGTTTAATATGACACAAGTGTGCATAGGAAAAACGGTGGTTAAGATCTGAACTTTCAATATTAATTGATATTCTTTTTTGAGAATGTATTACTTATAAGTATGGTTTAAGATCTGTTTTTCCGTGATGCATAAAAGATATAAGGTATCGAATTTCATTTGCACATTTAGTCTTTTCTTTTTCTACTTTGAGAACCAGTCAAAACCAATTATAGAAGATGTTAGTTTGACACAGAACTGCAACTTAACTACGACGTGACAATCCAAGTATTGCTTTACATTTCATTTATCCATATGTTACTTTCGTTCAAGCAAACGCTCGGCTGCCTCCGTAAACCCCTATTGCGAAATGTCGGCTTTGACAGAGACAACCGCCATTTTGGACTCGCTTCAGATTTTTGAATGCTAATATCTAGAGTTTAGATTTATCAATATTGAAACAAATTTTATAGAAAGCATAAGAAGAAAGGTTTCTATCAACATACCAAAAATAAATGAAAAATATGGAAAAACAAAAAAGTTAGAAAATGCAGACTTTTTAATTTCGCTTCTTGTAACGACCGGAAGTATTGACGACGCACAAAAAGGTAATTCTGCAAACCACAAAGTCATGATCTATCATCTCCAAGAAGTCTCCAGTTCATATCCTAAACCGTTTTCGATAAAAAGGGGCGACAAAATCGCATTTTAAAATCAGAAAAGTGTCCATAACTTGGCACCAGAAGCGAATTTTCCAAATTTTGCATCGGAAGTAACAACTACATATTATAACTCATATTTTGTGAAAGTTTCATGAAAAACCGCTGAATACTTTTCGAGAAATCGCCTGCACAAAATTTTGTCTAAAAAAGAATAAGAATAATAAGAAACAATACAATCACTATAAGGTCTTCCGTGAAGACGGAAGACCTTAATAATAAGAAACAGAGTAAAAACAATATGTTCCCCAACTTCGTTTGGGGAACATAACTAGAAAGTCTGCTATTGCAAGCAATAGCATATGTCGCCCCGTATTAGACAAGACTTTCATTTTTATCATCACTAAAACAAAAGTCCATAAGCTAAGTTTGAACAACCATTGAGTTATATCAGTCCTTTCCATTGGAAACGGAAGACCTTAATTCGGTACATCCCACTCATTATTTTTAGAATCGGTAGGAGAAGAAAGTAGTGCAGGAAAATTACAAGTTCCTCAATTTGCAGACTTGCATAAAAGAAATCTGGCAGATGTACTGAACTGAGCCTCATACTTGTTAATTGGCAGTATCTTTCCTATGATAAAAGCTTGGGAAATGTAATTTATGAAGAAGATCAGCCGAATTATTTTGTGTATTGTAACGCCAGTGAGAACTCTGAAATTTCCCTCTTTCACTTTCATTTTAGAGGTTCTACCAAAAAACGAATCTGACATGCCACCATCAATTCGAGCATTTCTGCATTGCAGAGAGCTGATGTGTGTTATGAGATGATAAATCATGAGTGAACTTTCTCAGTTTAGCGGAATCATGAACATTTTCGGCGAGATGAATGTTTTGTATACAGTGGTGATCAAGGCTTTGCGAACCATCAGGAGCGGATCAAAGAATTTATGAATGAATAAAAACTATGGAAATGACGTACCAATTTTTTAATTTATACTTGCACTATCTAATGAAATGAATAATATACAAGTGATAGATATACAAGAAAACGCGAAATGATAATAAATGCAGCTGACAATCGTTATTTTTTTTTATATAGATAAAATAAAATATTTATAAATTCAAGAGACAAAACAGAAGGAGAATGAATGATGGCAAAATATCACATGACGGGAACTGAATTTTATGAATGAAGATTTTAAAAAGTTACTTGTAAGTTGTATATGTTATATCTGTGTATTCTACTTGGCTGTGTGCTTCAAAAAAAAAAGGGGGGGGGGTCGTCTTGAACATAGTAAATAGCCATAACGTTTGAACGGTAAGTACTAGGGCTTTCGTATTTCAAATATGTAATCCTTGTGAAAAGAACTTTTATTGGATACGACGAACTTTGACCCTTTGACCTAGACCTTGGAGAACACATGTGTACATCTGAATCTTTTTTTCTGTTTCGTTTCTATGGCAACCGTGAGCGACTCATTACAATTATTTTGAAAGTAGAAATCACTTTGACACATTGCAAGGAATAAACATTGAAAGTTTCAAAACGATTGCCTGAGTAGTTATTGAGAAAATCGAAATTAAAGAATTTTAACTTTCACCTGGTTTCCATGGCAATAATCGATTATATAAAAATTTTAAGAGAGGATGTCACGAATCATCAAGCTTCAGATGGAAACTTAAAATTTTAACTTCCTGTTTTCTTATATTGGTTGGAAAGAGTGTTCATTGTACACAACTTTCACATATATGAAAATGATGTTTGACCAACAAAACTATTATTTATCTACCTTCTTATGTGTTGCCATGGAAACCACCATGAGTGAAGGAAAAAAAGCTTAAATTTTAACTTTTTTGGAAGAATATTTTTACAGAAAGAATACTGATATCACCCAGAACAAACTTAATGCAAACTATTAAAGATATATAGTGTACAAAAAAGTTTCAAAGCAAATGTAAATACCCATGCATCTGTTGCCATGGCAACACAAATAGTATATAGTTGAACAAGGTGAAAATTTAAATATTTACCTGTCAAGTTAAAACTAATATATATAAAATCTACAACAGGTTCAGCATTTAAATGAATTTTATTCTTGCACAATACATGTTGATCTTCAAGACTAACATAAAAAATTGAGAAGCATTTTTACTACTTTTGTGGGAAAACTGTTCAATTTCATGTTTTAATTCTTTAAAAAATGCTTAAAATCCACTTCCAATATTTTAGGAATATTTTAAATTTCTTCCAAATTGATACAATTGTATGTTTAAAAGCTATCATACTCTTGCATCATTGATAAATATAGTGAAATTTTGGGATAAAAATCCTGTAATGTGCCCATAGCAACCAAATTTACTGCATAGCAACCAAGACAATTTCGAAAAATCATGTCAAAAAAAAAGAGGTGAACAGGTTTTCTAAGTATAAATTAACTGAAAAACCTTTTTTTTTCTTACAAAAAAAATTAAATATACTGAAATTTATACATTGATCATATTCTGTGCATAGCAACCAAATGAGGTCCATAGCAACAGAGCTGAATAGACATTTTGTTATTCATGAATTATCAATAAAAACTATTGATGATACTCCAAAAGAATAGTTATGGGAATTCAAACGGATAATCTAAGTGTGCATCCTTAGATGCAATATTTATGTAATTTTGGTCTTGGGTTTTGATCTACCATAGTTATGAATAAAACTAAGAAGCAAATTCAAGGACACTGTTCTACTAACTTTATGGAAAGTAGTATGGATGGTGAAAGGTGTCGTAACAAATTAGTGAAATCTCTCTCTCTAATATTTTGCTAAAATTTAATTATTAAGAGAGTGGTTATCTTTAAAATTGATAGGTATCTAATAAAAAGAATTTGATAACAAAAACAATACAGCATATACAAATTGAAAATGGTCTAGCAACCAGAATCAGATCATAGCAACAGTATAGTGTTAAGACAGAAATTGATCTATTTTTTCATTTAATAAACTTCATACTCATTTAAAAATTGTTTATACACATTTTTAATAGATAAGTTGATTACATTTTACACCAATTAAATATTTCTAAAAAATATTAATATTTTCCCTTAGCAATATATATCTGACCATAGCAACATTGAGTATGAATGAGCAAATAATGACAAAATTTGTCTCTGTGTTCCCCAGTCAGTAGAAAGGTTATAGGCTTTTGAAAGAAATTGCAGTATGATGGTGTCAGCAGAATCTGAAGCAGTCTTCAATAAAGCATCCAGCAGAAGAGAGCCTTGACCTGGTGCAAGGACATTCACAACCTCTTGAAAAATTTATTTAGCTGATGATATATAATCACTTTTTGTACGGTCAGATGCTTTATTCCAATCTGCTCTGAGTTGCTTCTTTACTGGACTTAGGCCACAACTTTGCAGGAAAGTGTCTAGAGCTTTCCTCATGATATTCATGTTTTCTAGGTAATCACCTCCCTCCTCTTCTTCCTATGTACTGTAAATCACTTAATTTTCGCGACACCTTATTTTCGCGAGATTGTCATTGACTCTTTATTAACAAGACAAAATTTTCACGAATTGTGATCTTTGCTCTATATAATCTTAAGAAATTCTATTATACGCGAGAATGAAATTTACGCGAGCATACGGTTTCGCGTAATTACGCGAAAATAAAGTTCTCGCGAATAAAAAGTGATTTACA